TTGTGCTTCATTTGGTCTCAGTTTTGGCTTTTGTTATGAGATAAAATTATTCAAACAAAACTTAAAAATTCTTAAGTAGTACCATGATGATTCTTCAAGGATGAACCCTCATGATAACATAAAAATATTAATGTAGGAGAAAAGAAAAGGACTTATATCTGCTAAGGCATTATTGAATGGCGGAAAGCACAGAGTATACAATGAGAAATAATAATATTTGCCATGGTTTTGCCATCAAATTAAAGTTAAATTTGCAAATGTTACTGAAAACTTGTGAATAGCTCAAAAACATCATCACGTAAAATATTTTGAGTTTTTTTTACCTGTAATGATATCTCTATCTTGGCTCTGTCATATGCTTCTTATGTGACTTAGTGAGAAAAATTTATAGAGATTTTTTTTTAATCTTTTGAGATTTGAGATGCCCTAAAGAATTGACAAGCAATTTGCTGATTTTCCCTAAATTATTTGAGAGCTTAATAGAATCCCTAGAACTGGTTCACTAATTGTCATGGACAATTTTATTCACAAGTGTATCAGTGAGGGTGTTTTTGAGAAACAGTGCATAGGGAGAGAGAAGTTTTAATGAGGAAATGGCTCATACAATTATGGAGGTTGAGAAATTCGATGAGTCGCTATCTGTAAGTTAGAAGCATAGAAAAGTCTGTGTCTTATTCTATTCGAAGCTTGGAAATGAGGTGGCCAATGCTTCCAGTTCCAGTCTGAGACTAAAGTCACAGGAATCTGCAGGTTGGGAGGAAGGGACAGCTGATGGTAGAAGACAGATCTCCCAGCTAAAGCAGAGAGCTATGGTCTGTTCCTCTACCTGTTGGCTCTACTCAGGGTCTCAGCGGGTTGAATGGATGCACATTCCTATTAGAGACCACTATCTACTTTAACAGTCTAACTGTTCAAATGTTAAGATCTTCTAGAAACACCTTCTCACAGACACACCTGGAAATAATTTTATTAGCTCTCTGGGCATTCATTAGCCAAGTCAAGTCAATTCATAAAATTAACCATCACACAAGCTTGGTTCACATATGCAAATCTTTAAAACAGACTTTATCTCCAAATAAAGGAAATGCCAACATCCTAATTCTGCCTAAGATGATTTAAATATCTACAACTCCAAAAGAAACCAATTCCTTTCCCAGAAGATGAGATAACTTCCTTCTATGTGTTTGGCTTTTCATCTATATTCCATACCTAATATACTATTTTGAAAAGCTAACATTACTTAAATTCTGATATAAAGGCAATTTTGTTGAATGATAATGAGGAAATGAAATGAATGAAAACAAAGATATTTGCCAGAAAACAGATATATGTATATGTGAATACACACACATATTCACAACAAGATACGGAGAAAACACTCATGAAAATTATAGCCCTCATTTCTATAACTGATGATGTAGAGTATCTGGTATTTATAACTACCTTATGTTACCCATTCTGTATTCCCTTTGTCTTCCTCAAGTACCTCAACTGATGGTGAGTCTCTCCCTGTTGGAGTTACACAAGCCTTCACTTATGAAGGGTCTGGAACATTAATTAGACAATTTTATTCACAGGCATATCAGTGAGGGTGTTTTGAAGAAACGGAACCCATGTGCATGTGAAGATATTAAGGTGCTGAAACGTTCTTCTAAGGTTAATATGTGCCCATATTACCAAAGGCATTGTAATATGAAGAGAAGCCTTTGGGTATGTTTTCCATTTCACAATTGTTTTACCTTCATTATGGATTAGGAGTTCATTTTCTCCTTGGAAGCCAGGAATAATCACCGCAGTATCATTGAAACTTCCTCCTTTGCCTGTGCATTCAAAGGTATGAGCATCCCAAAATGATCAAATGACAGTCTTAGGATCCAATTCATTGTAACAATTGCCATGTCTCCTACTGGAAGCATTTCTTCCTCTGGATGGAAGACCTCTCAATCACTGAAGCATAACACCATAGTAATATGAACCAAATCTCTTTCGACTATATCAGAAGGGATAATATTGAGTGTTTCCAGTTCTTGACCTCTGGTTTCTGGCTCTTCAAACAAATCATATATTGAGTTTGATTCAGAGAATATTTATTCTCCTGGAGAACATTGCCTATACCTTTTAAGGTGATTCCACCTACTTAGGACTATGACTGAATCTTTATGATATTGAGATTGAAAATACTACTATGTTCCTGAACCCTCTTTCCTAGGGAAAAAGGCTGACTGACATCCATAAAGAAAGTCATCCCAAAGACTTGGTTATCAAATCATTTTCTGTTTAGTTCCCCTTTTGGTGTATATTCACAGGGGACACCAATATCTTTCTATAGAATGTGTGCTTCCTAAGCATATACATCAGGTTTTGGGTTTTTTTTTTGGTTTTTTTTTGGTGTGTGTGTGTGTGTGTATGATGATCACTACAGATAAACTAGTGAATGGAACAAAGAAATTCTTTGACTTTGAAATAAAATTTACCCCAAAAGAAGGAGAATTTAGGCTATTTTGAGAATTTCTAAGAATGGCATCTAAGTTGGTGTTGAAACTAAATACAAACCTGAATCATTGATTAGAGACAACTTTTGGTTTGAAAATTATTAATATTTTCTTCATTCTGTGCCAATTCCATATTTATTCTTGGCCATCCCATAGAGACAAAATACAAGTTTGATGCAATGCAAGTTAGAGTGAATATTGCCTATTACAAAATATATTGTTACCATATCCTACAATATTAATTTTTAAACAGAATATGTGCACACATTTTCCAGGTTCTCTGTAGGGCATTCTTCACTTCTTTATTCCTGAAACTATAGATCATGGGATTTAGCATGGGTATCACCAGAGTGTAAAATACAGAGGCCACTTTATCAGTGTCAAAGGAATGGCTGGACTTAGGCTGCACGTACATAAAGAATAGACTCCCATAGAATACCATTACAGCTGTCAGGTGAGAACCACAGGTGGAGAAGGCCTTGTACTTGCTTTCTGCAGAGCTCATCCCGAGGATGGTGACAAGGATCAGAATGTAGGAGACAATGATTATCAGAAGAGATGAAACCAAATTGAAAGTTGAAAATATTAGAACGATCAGCCTAATTTCATGTGTGTCTGAGCACAGCAAAGATATCAAAGGCAGACTATCACAGTAAAAATGCCTGATGACATTTTGTTGACAAAATGGAGAAGCGAAAATTTTTATGATGGTCAGCAAAGATAAAAAGACACTGTAGAGATAAGTGATTGCCACCAGCACATGACACAATGCTTGTGACATGATGACTGTGTAGAGCAAGGGGTTACAGATGGCCACATAGCGGTCATAGGCCATTGTTGACAGAATGAAAACTTCACTAATAATGAACACACTGAAGAAGGTGAGTTGGGTAGCACACCAAGAGTAGGAGATTGTAGGTCGCTCGGCAACAAAATCTACTAACATTTTGGGTCCCACGGCTGTTGAGTAACCAAGATCTGTGAAAGACAAGTGTCTGAGGAAAAAGTACATGGGTATGTGCAAGTGTGCATCTATATTGGTGAGGATAATCAAGCCCAAGTTACCAACCACTGAGATCATGTACACAATGAGGAAAAGCACAAATAATGGAGCCTGCAGTTCAGGGAGGTCTGTGATTCCCATTAGGATGAATTCTTTCAGCGTTGTTAGATTGTGTTTGTCCATCTAGCCACTCAGGAAACCTATACTGAGAGTAAATACAAAATAATCATTAATTCCTGTTATATATGATGATGTTACATTACTTTATGTGCTTACATATGATATTTGTGTT